CGGTGTTATCTGAAACAACCACTACATTTGCGCAGCTCAAAGACAAGATTTATTATCGTCTCACACACAAAGAAGAGGTACAGATTTTCATTTAGTATTACTAGTAGTAGTATAATGAATGAATGTGAAATAGAGGAGTTTACTAGAGAAATCAACATTAAAAGTAGTTAGATTCCTCTATGAATTTACTATGATAATGAACTTGTTTTTTGAACTGAGATTTAGGGTACACATCATTTACTTTATTACAGAAGGCATAGAAGCTAGCTCTAAAAAGAATCTCTCTCTCTGTCAACAGGTCTGTGGTGTCCAGTGGAAGAGATACAGCGAACTAAACGAACTGTTACTAGGTCACCGGCCGGGAGAACTGACGGTACTCACAGGTCCCACAGGCTCAGGGAAAACCACATTCATGGCCGAATATTCTTTGGACTTGTGTTTGCAAGGGGTTGGTATTTTTTTGTATTTTCTTATATCAATAGAAAATTGTGATATCATCTATATCAATAGAAAATTGTGATATCAGCTTGGTTGTTTAGCTAGCAGTTGTTATGATTTCTGTATGTTTGGTAAGTATGTATGTCTTCTGTTTGGAAAGGGCTGTACTGATAGGATGTTTTCGTTGATGTCTTTGTTATATATAGTTTGTAGTGTATGTATGCTCTGTTAAAAGTTCAGTATCTTTAAATTGATGTGGTTAAAGTAATTTAAAAATGATATATATATAATCTTTGCTGTTAGTTTAGGTTCTGTAAATACTAACTATGGTTAACATTGTAGCTGAGCCTTTATTGTTATAAATAATTGATAGTCTTTTTTCATTACTAATTTTGATTTATTTTTGAATTCACTTTTATAGGTGAAAACCTTGTGGGGCAGCTTTGAAGTGAGTGTGGTGCGGCTTTGTGAAGTTATGCTACATCAGTTCAGTGGGACATCCCTTCCTCACGACCCCATTGCCTTCAACAACCTCTCCTCGCAGTTTGCCTCACTGCCTCTCCACTTTCTCACCTACCATGGCCAGCAGACAGCCTCATCTGTTATCAAGGTGGGCTTTAAAGCATCACTTTTTTATGTATCATTTAATGTATTTACGAAGTTCTTTTTTATTTATTATATTATTATTATTAGTTTTTTATTACATGGATGTATATTGATTAATGAACTTTCATGTTACATATATTTGTCTTCCAGTTGTATAGATTTGGTTTCCTAAATTGATTTAATGATTTATATGTCTCTTTTTATTGAGTTTAGCTTTTCTAAATTACAATTACATTTTGTATTTCTTTTGGTAATTTATTTCTCTCTCTCTCTCTCTCTCTCTCTCTCTCTCTCTCTCTCTCTCTCTCTCTCTCTCTCTCTCTCTCTCTCTCTCTCTCTCTCTCTCTCTCTCTCTTCTCTCTCTCTTTCTCTCTCTCTTTCTCTCTTCTCTTTCTCTCTTTCTCTCTTTCTCTCTCTCTCTCTCTTCTCTCTCTTTCTCTCTCTTTCTCTCTCTTTCTCTCTCTTCTCTCTCTCTCTCTCTCTTTCTCTCTCTTTCTCTTTCTCTTTCTCTTTCTCTTTCTCTTTCTCTCTCTCTTTCTCTTTCTCTTTCTCTCTCTCTCTCTCTCTCTCTCTCTCTCTCTCTCTCTCTCTCTCTCTCTCTCTCTCTCTCTCTCTCTCTCTCTCTCTCTCTCTCTCTCTCTCTCTCTCTCTCTCTCTCTCTCTCTCTCTCTCCTCTCTCTTCCTTCTCTCTCCTTCTTTTGCAGGCTATGACCGAGGCTGTTCGAGTTTGGGGAATACAGCACGTCATCATAGATAACTTGCAGTTCATGTTAGGCACAAGTGATCAGTCCATGGATCGCTGGTGGGAGCAAGATAAGGCAGTCGCAGCTTTCCGGAGATTTGCAACAACCCACAATTGCCATGTTACTCTTATTGTACATCCAAAAAAGGTTGGTTACATTTTGAAGTTGTAAGATCAACAGAAGTATTCCCAATGAGGAATTGAATGAATAGATGAATAGCATGTAGTTAAATGTTATGTTGAAACATGCATAAAAGATTAGCATCATGAAGAAAGTTCCTAACTATACCTAACCTCCTGTGTTGGTTATATCCATCAAATTTTGAGTCTTTTCATTCTTTAGTTGATGAAGAAGTATATGAATTACTACTCAGAGAAAAGATAGCTAGGAGTGTGTAGTAAAATTACTTATTTGTGAATATAATTGAAGCTTGGATAATTATTCAAATGTATTGAATCAAGATCCATAGGAAATGCCTGTCCAAAGAAACATATCCCATCCCCTCCCCCTTACTCTAGATAAAAATAGTAATGATAATCATTATAATTAGAAATAAATAATGAATACAAGAACTATAACCAGTAATTGAATTATGTCATCTAATAAGATAATAACAATAATTACTATAATCAACTGTCAGGCAGATGAGTAATGAAGTTTGATGCCAGGAGTGCTTGTACATACAAGCCAAGTCATAGATTGCTCCCAAAGTACATAGTCACCATCACTAGTTCTATCTGATCTCATCTGTACCATCCCCCCCATCTTTGTGTGTGTGTGTGTGTGTGTTGTGTGTTGTGTAAAGACATACAGCATACGGCTAAAATGAACCTCACAAATACATGTTCTAAATTTGAAAAACATTTTTAAACACTTTAGTATTGTTCTATTGTTGTTTTAATGTGCACTTGTTGCTGTCCTGATTAAAACTTTCTTAATGCTCTCCTAGAGCAAATTTGAAAGTGATCAAGACACAAGCAGTGAGCCGTTTACACAATGGTGGTTTAAGTTATGTTCACTAGCATTTTCAAGGAGTCCCAAGCGTCATGGTATCACAGGAGGATTTGCTGCAAGCTGCTGTCATCTTTTGTGCTCCAAGCTAGAATGCATGATTGTGTAATGAGACTGCTTTGTATATCTGACTTATCCTTATCCTTAAAAAGATGTGCATGGGTACAAAAGTGCTAAGTGCATTTGTGTTGTTTGTCCATTGCACATTGGCTTATTTGAATAGTCTTTAAATCTGCCTTCTCCATGATGGGATAGTTTTCAATAATCTGAAGGAGGGTGAATGTTTCATTTCCATTCACTTAGGATAGTTTTGGAGCTATCATTAAAAAAAAAAAAAAAAAAAAAAATGGACAATGCACCCCGCAGCAAAGCACATACACCCTCTCACACTGCCATCGTCCTCTGGACTAGTCATCTTTCCGGTGTGAATTCATGATTTTTCTCACTAGCAAATGAAAGTCTTTAAATGCTTTCACAAGCAAATTTGCTAGCAAATTAAGAAGCTTGTCCAAATGCGAATAAAAGTAGCACCATGTAAGCGACTCTTGACATAATGAAAAGTAGTTCTTAGGATTAAAATTAAATATACTAGGTAATCCACTACCTTTGTATAACCACAAACACTTGTTTACTTTCAACTAGTGTGATATATGAAAATTTACTGTTAAAAGGGCTATCAAGTCCTCTTTGCATATTATGCACATTCCTTTTTACTATGAAAATTCAAATAGGCAAACTCAGCATAATCTGCATCAATTATTAAGTACTGTACACTTACCTCTCTCCTGCCATTGAGGTAACCTTGTACAGCTTGAAGTTGTTTAGGGACGAATTGTAGTCAGAATTACAGAGCCATATATGCATAAACAAAATTTATAAAACGACAGTGGAAGTGCATTAACTTGGCAACAGTGGATTAATATTTTAGCATCAATTCTTTGTACTTATTTTCATTTGAACTCGTTTGATGCCATATCACAAACTGTTTCTATTTTCCATTAATTAATCTACCAATTTCTCATCCCAACACAAAAAACAACAATTTGTTTCTAAATTTTCTTTTTCCATTTAACTTTTTCCAATGTAAGCACAAGTTAGATGTATGTACTTCATAACAGGTGCCCGATGGTCAGCTACTGAGCATCAACAGTGTATTTGGTGGAGCCAAGGCAACACAGGAGGCAGACAATGTGCTCATTCTGCAGGTGAAAAGCAGCTCAGCCATCAATCAAAGCAAGAAGGCATTGCAGGTAAACTGAGATACTATTGTGCTATCTAGTAGAATTATTTTGTTTGGACTTTGATATTGCAGAAAAAAAGAAATTCCTTCCTAAATTTGTGTAAACATAAATTAATAGTGTTTGAATTTGTTTGCCTACATAAATGCTGGTCTGTTCATACATTAAGCTCAACATTCCCATAAATATCCGTGAACTTTATACATTGACAATTCCAGGTTGTGAAGAACAGATATGGGGGCCAGCTAGGAGTGCTTCCTTTGAGGTTCCACAAAGAATCTCTGACACTATCTTCCTGCTTCCGCCGCAAAGACAAAGAGAAAGACAAGGAAAAGGGTGCTGATGCAGAAGAGACACGCAAGGCAAAGTCTACTGTACAGCACCCCCGTGTGAAGGGTCTGTCTGCATTTGGCTTTTAAGGTGCTTCGCAATTCTGTGCCATAGTATTCCAGTAAATAATGTTGACTTAAAGGAAGTACCTATCTGAAGAGAATTCATTGCGATGAATGTAGAAGTAGGAATGATTGAGGGTGACTAACTAAACAATTCAAAGAGATATATTTGATGCATTTCCATTATATCTTCAGAAAGACAAGACAAAGTTAATACTAAAGTGTATTAGATACACCTCTTACACCAAAGATGTATTTGATGGGTTTCATTATATCTTCATCAGAAATACATGACAAGTGTGTTTCTGAGAAGATATATAAACTCATCAACTACATCTGATCCTGTGAAGTTATTAATTCTCATTTGTACCTATTTGTACAAATACCTAACTGTAAAAAGTGAAAAATTGTAGAGAATTTACGTTGCTGTGTTTGGATAAAATGAAGTAATGTAATTACTGAAATTCTGTATGTACAGTTTATAATTTTTATAAAACTACATGGAAAAACTTATCTTTCCTTTCCTTTCCTTTTTGGACAAAAAGAGGTAGTCTTAAGAAAATTAAATCAAATCTATATGAACTTTATTATCTAATGATAACTATGTTTCCATATTTTTTTACAAAAACATTTACTTTACAATATAACATAATATACAACAGAAACCATCTTGACTGACAACACAACACATTCTACCATGTTGATAATTAGGTAGAAAAATTTGCTATCCACAAACGTTTAGTAAAAGATGAGACGTTTTATACTGCACATGGTTTTCATCTATAGGATGCAAAGATGAAATCAAGATTGATTTTCAAAACTGTTATCTCATCTTTTAATAAACCCATTTCATAGAAAGTGGTTTTCTCAGCCAAAAGGCATCATCCTAATTCCCATTAAGCTGAAGATGAAGCTGCCTCTGGTACAGTCACACTAACAGGGAGTCCAAGGCTTTTCTCAGTTTCTGCAATCCACTTCAAGGTCTCTGCCTTTTCCTTGAGGAACGGCTCCTTCTGGCTCTCCAAGCTCTCCTTGTATTCATTGAGTTTCTTGTGAATGATCTCTCTCTTGCGCATACGGACAAGCTTCTTCAGCGATGCCTTTCTTGCAACCCATCGGTAGTACCTGTAATGGAAGTGTATGAAGGTTGAGTTACTGTATAAAGTAAGGTCATAAATATGGAAGTTATGTAGTTGTATTATAAAAGATAAACAAGGCCACATTATGGCAAATAAAATATCTCTTGCAGTAAGAAAAGAATATGCCTGATCACAGATAGAAGCAGCAGTTTAGAAAGACTACATAAAGATTACATAAACATAATTTTACACAAGACTAACTATATAATTGTATCATACTGGGTATTTAACCCTTTGCCCCTTTTTTTTTTTTTTTTTTTTTTTTTTTTATATACAGATATACATACATACATATAGTTATACAAAGTGCACAGCCATCAAGGAGTTACCATTTGGACAAGGTAACCACCTGATTTCCCCATAGCTGAATTTTATGGGGCAGTTTTCATATGCTAGTAATATCAATGCTATTATTTTTACGTACATTATGATTACTTTAATATGAGAATGTTATTAGCAATAAAAAGAAATAAAAATTCAAGGAAAAGGACAAAAAGGTGAGATAGGTAGGACTAGTGTTTGACTCCATTTTAACAAAACACTTGTGGAGCGATCTACATGCAAACAGTGAATAAACTAAACTTGCAGTGCACATGACATGTATGTAATGCCACCTCAGCAAAGTGGGTTAGAGCCTAATTATATTCAGTTACCATAGCAAAAAAAACATTTAAAGCAGAAAAAAATTATACACAATCATATATTGAAGTACATATACTGTACCTTGGGGGTGGCCGGAAGATGATGTTTAGCTCTCCAATTAGCCACTCAAAGCGCTTGTAGTCCATTCTACGCAAGTGCTTCAGCGTTTTTTTGCGACGGTCGATTAATTCTTGCAGGTAACACCTCTGCACAATATTCTTCTTGCATTTGAATGTTTCCTTCTGAAGGTTCCGAATTTTTATAGTCATCATTGCAACTGGAAAAGCAGAGAAAACATGCAATTACTGATACTACCAGTTAGAAACATTCTACTTCGATGATAAAAAAAAAGAGAATCTCAAAAGCACAAGCTTTTGACACTGTATTAATCAATTTCATAATTTTATTAATCACAACACATTTGTCTTGAGTTACGTACTTGCCACTTCCATAGAACCAGTATCATGCTGGTGTCGCTGGATTTTCTTGCAGAGTTCGTGCCGCTGGATTTTCAAGTTCTCTTTATGGCTGCTGAATTCAATGGAGAGGAGTCTTCTGGTTACCTCATCAACTCTGCAAAGTGCATATGGTGTTTCATTATACACCCCTGTTTGTCTTGAAAAACACACAAACAAACACACAGAAAAAAGAAAAATGGCTGTGGGTTTATGTCTACTACAGTTTTTGATTAATTTTGTTACACACAGTTGGCTCCATGAGTGCTAATCTAACCAATCTAACCTATAACTTGACCTAAACCCAAATCAAATATAACCTAAAATCTAACCTAAAACCTAACCTAACCTAAAACCTAACCTAAAACCTAACCTAACCTAACCTAAAAAACCTAACCTAAACCTAACCTAAAAACCTAACCTAACCTAAAACCTAACCTAAACCTAACCTAACCTAACCTAACCTAAACCTAACCTAACCTAACCTAACCTAAACCTAACCTAACCTAACCTAATAACCTAAAACCTAACCTAACCTAAAACCTAACCTAAAACCTAACCTAACCTGACCTAACAGCTCACCTCACTTAACTTCAAACCAAACCAAACCAAACCAAACCAAATCAAACCAAACTAAATCAAACCAAACCAAACCTAAAACCTAACCTAAACTAAACTAAACTAACCTAACCAAACCAAACCTGACCTAACACCTCACCTCATCTAACCCAATCTAAAACCTAACCTAAAACCTATCCTAACCTAAAACCTATCCTAACCTAAAACCTATCCTAACCTAAAACCTATCCTATCCTATCCTAACCTAACCTAACCTA